CACAAACAAAATTGAAGCACAATATTCAACAACCAAATATTCAAACAAAATTTAACCAAAATATATCAATTCCAAATTTTCAACCAAAATATATCAATTTCACAAACAAAATTACACAAAAGTCAAGAAAAAAAATGTTCATAAATTTCCTAATAGTTGCTAGGAGTAAATTGATCCGGAGGTCTGCGCTCCCGGGAGCCTTTCCGACGCTGGTACGTCTGTAAAGAAGACGAGGTTGTGGGCATGGCAGCTTCTTCTGTATCTGTGGGCGTGGCAGCTTCTTCTGTATATGAATAAATGATATTTTAAGAAAAATCGGAAAATAAATAAATAATTTAAAAATCATATTGTAGTTAAGTAAAAAAATCTGACCTTCTTCTGCTTGTTCCTCAGGCACGGTGTCGGCAGACACGGTGTTGGCATCGAGTTCGCGGACACGGTGTCTTCTACGCCCGCCAATATTGGCAGCAGGTCGATGCCTCGCCCGGTGCGGCTGCATCGGTTGGGGTTGGACATAGCTCTCTTGAGATAGAACTTGACTCGACGATGTCCCTTGCGTGACCCCTTGTCCTCCGACACTCAGTCCACTGTGGAGCATGTTTTGGGCATTTGCGATTATGGACTGCTGCTCCGGAGTGAGTGCATTATAGTCAAGGGTCGATAACAAGTTATAAACCCCCTCCATGGCATTAGCCTGAAAAAAAAAATTGAAAATTATTACCATTAAAAAAAATAAGAATAATAAAAAAATACAATTTATTAACACTTACACTGCACATCCCCTGCTCGGACAGTGGATGAAAGCCTTCTTGCTGTTGGACCACCGGGTTGTTGCCATGATTACTGATTAGTCTTCGAGTCCTATAGTGAAACCAATCAAGGTAACCCGGCCCAGCCTCAACGAACGACTCCACAGGGTAATGTGGAAGGACATGTTGGGCTCTTTGGTCGACCCAAACATTCTCAAGTGCTCCATGATACTCCACCCAATCATAAAATGCCCTCTCAGTCATTCCCTGGCCTCGGTGGTGTGTCTGGTACTCAGCCAAACCCCTAATGATCGGAGGGTCGGGGATGGCTTGTCGACACCCGAACTGACGGATGACCCTATCCGTCAGGTGCTGCTCACGAATGTCCCAACAGAAGATCCACCCTCTATACATCCAGAGGTGTGAACCTTCTGTACACGAGGCTGGGAGAGTACCCTCGTCCAGGTGGCGCTTATATGGCAACCAATTAAATTGTAAAAAATTAATAATAATATTTATTAAGTTATAGAAAAATAAAAAACGAAAAACAAATATATATAATAATCAATATTACTTAATAAAAATCTTACATCATTCTCTGTCAACCACGTTAATTGATCTTGGATAGCGGCTGTTCCCTTTCCGATGTGTTTTATATTCTTCCGTCCCACCCACCTTAAAAATCAAATAATAAAAAAAGAACCAAAAATTTTAATCACAAAATTTTATAGTAATTTGACATTTTAAGTATTAAATATAAATAAATGTGATTACCTTGCTCTTAAAGGACAACCTTGGACTCTGTCAAAGTTGGTATCCCTCATTTTTTGGCTAATAC